GAATAGTGGGCTGGCTCCCTATTGGATAATCAATGTAGATTTTAAAAAAAGGACAATTTTCTCTGACCTTGGGGATGACTTCCTGGAGCCCTCTGAGAGGCAGGGTTTTCCAGATACCCTTTGTGGAGGTGGGGAAGCTTTAAGACAATGACCCCATTGCACACAGGTGTATTCCTCAGAAGAGGAGGTATCCTTGCAGGACCATCCAGGTCTGCACCTCTGAAGCTGGCCACGGGGAAGTGGGTTAATTCCTCTTTGGAGGGAACAGCCTGAGAATGTTTAGATTAGAGGGGACAAAGTCATCCTTGGAGGGGGAGAGCTTAAGTGTTGGACCAGGACAGGCTTCGTTGCAGAGTCCACTTGTTGCTTGACAAAGGCCACAAGTTGATTTAAGGAGATTAGCAAGAGGAGGCCTATCAGTGGTCCAAGGATGGAAGGGATGAGGGTGGTTAACCATGGAGAAGTTGTAAGAATGGGTAGAAAGAAGCAAAAATGAGTAACAGGAGATTATTTTCCCATAAGAGCAAAGCCAGCCAACCTGATGGTTGAGTTGTTGTCATTGGGGTCATTTTCAGGGGGAGTTGTAGAATGGGTTGATAAGGACCTGGAAGGAAAGAAGGAGAGGATTCTCCTCTAGAGAGGGCAGTAGTGTCAGGGTTCTCATCTCCCGAATCCTGCTCCCCAGAGGAGGCTTCAGCTGAAGGACTATAGACTTGATTACTGCTACAAAGTGAAAGAAGAAACACAATGGCTTGGATGGGGCATGACTTAAGAAAGCAGGGGTGAATATGTACTCCCTCATATGTGGATTTCAAACAAGAGTAAAGGATTACCAGCTTACAACCCACATTGCCTGAGAAGCTGGTAAACAAGGAGGACCCTAAGTGAGAAATACATGGTCCCCTGGAGAAGGGGAAAGGGTGAAGATCCCCTGAGCAAATTGAGAGAACGGGAAGGGGGGAGCTAGGAGAATGAGAAGGGAAGAAGAGGAATGATGCAGAGGTCATGAGGGAGCAGAAAGGTTAAGTCAGGGGAAGAATAGAAGAAAGGTTATGTAATAGGTAGGGTTGTAGTTGGGGGTGGTAGGGGAATACGGAAGGGAAAAGGGAACTGGGATTGTCATGTAAATAAATCTTGTTTCTAATTCAAATTTTAAAAAATGATTAATATAAAGAAAGCAGGGTGAAGCCAAAGCACCCCAAGCCTAGCAGTAGTCCCATGGCTGCTACCTGAATCCTCCCCTAAGGGCCAGCACACAACTGTAGCGGGGCAGGCAAAGGCAGACCCAGGCCTTGTGTCAGCAACAGGTGATTGTGTGACAATGTGTCTGTTCACAGGTGCATTAGCTGTGCCCACCACTCCCAAAGAAAACTGATTTCAACAAACCTTCTTGATCCCAGAAGTTCAACTAGGCAGCCAGCAGTTACACTCAACAGATGTTACTCAGCACAACTTAGGTATTTCAAATGGACAAGAAATTAGTATCAGAACAGTGTCTCAAGATGAAGTCCGAGTGCACCTTCCTCTCCAGTACTTTGAGGTCTACAAGATGAATCTAGAAAATTCACTACTATGGAAAATGAAGACTTAGGTTGGATTGGGGAGGGGAGGCTGGGCCCTTGGTGACTAATTGCTGTAACACTGTCCTTCTGTTGGCTGTGGCAGCTTCAGGTTCTCTTTGGCCATCATCAAGCGCCGAAGCTCCTGCAGGATGACTTTGATGCTATGGAATTTCTGCCATTTTGCCAGCACTGCCGTGGCCCTTGGATCCACCACTCCATTTGAACTACTCACGCAGCTCATATTGACTTTTGTTACAAATCTTACAGATGGGGGTGCTTCCTGGTATTTAGGCCCACATTCTATTTTAAGGCTGTATATTCAGTTTTTATAAATTGATCTTCGAGGCCCAATTATCATCCCTGTCCATCTAGTAAGTATCATGTCCTCATCATCCTCTAGATCCCAGATAATTGTGCTGTCACCTACTACTTTCTGGCCTTCTTCCAGCTCTTCCAACAGTTGGAAATTTCCAGGGACCTTTACACCTGAGCCTGTGGTGTCTGCCATCTTGCGTCCCAATTGCTTTCTTAAAGCAAGATCCCCACATCTTGAGGGATTCTGTGATCCCAGAAAGAAATGAATCTTCCTTGCTAAACTCTTGTCCTATAACTCAACTTTTTCACGTAGGTGGTGCTGATCAACTGAAAGTCCCAAGAGCTGGGCAGGCTGCTGGTTCTTCCTCCAACCGAGGCTCATAATCTACCTTGTAATGGACACCTTACTTCATGGAGAGGACCTTCCTCTAATGAGCACTGAAGTTCCCAGATCCCCAACTGTATCAAGCCGCACTTTGGACACCAGTTGTCCTGACCTGCAGGATGTCAACCTGGAGAGTCAAGGATAGGGAATTGGGACAAGTGACACAGAAAGAATGACCACAAGACAGGATTCTGATCAAGTGGCAAAGTTTACTCATCTCAGGCTAGCTTATATAGTCAGTAATGCAGGATATGGGCAGGGGAAGAATGGGTTGTTTGTGCACCAGGTATTAGTGTAAGCAGGATGTTAGGAAGCCACAAAGAAGATATTTGGCAGGGTAAAGAGTTCATGAGTATGAGGTCCAGGAAGGGCTGCCTAGGGGATTGCACGTGTAGGTACATAACTGGGTCAAGTTGTTTCTTTTCTTGGGCTGAGGTTCTAAGGAGCTGCTATGTAAAGCAGCAACTATGTGGCTGGCCAACCATGGCCTAGCATCTCATGCCAGTCATGCTGGCATTGCGGGTGGGATGCAAAGTTTGGCGCTGCCCCGCGAGTCCATCCTGACTATGTTTCAGTCTGCCAAATCACTTGGTGCCATAACCAGGCCAGGAGGCTCTGGATCAGAGGCTGGAAGGCATCCATGATGGGCGTAGGCTCTGCTCTTGTCCTGGAGAGTGCAGATTGGAAGCAGCTTGGCCATGGCCATGGCCCACTCCAGGAGGGACTCCTTGTGGAAGTTTACCGATACTACCTTCTGTCCCCTGTAGTGTGTGTGTGTGTGTGAGGGAAGTGGATTTTCCTGCTGGTCCTCCATGCTTTCTGCTTTAGTCATTAAAAAAAGTGAGCCAGGGACTCTTTCAGGCTAGGTGCAGAGTGAGACCCACCAGTGTTTTAAGCCACCAGAAAGGAAATACCTGCTTTTTTTAGTGTTTTGGCATTTTAGCAAATTTTGACTATTTCTTCAGGATGGGGGGGCTTTCTTCATGCAGTGGTTATTGGATTGGACTTACCTATGGGGTCTCCAAACTGTTTAAATAGGAGTGTGAGGGTTCTGGACTCTTCTGCTTCTGAATAGAGATGATAAAGTTCATCATTAAACCTTAAATACTCTCTTTAGAACCATTTCATTGATTTTCTTCCTAGTTCTCATGCTGGATCATAGTTTGGGGCTGTAGATGTGTTGCTTCTGTGATCTCTTTTTTTCACACTGCTGTGAGAATTATCTGTAGATATTACAGTTGCATACCTCTTCTCATGCCCAAGCACATGCCACTTTGTGCCATTCTTTTTATCTCAATTCTGAATCTATAGTAAAATATCCAGTTTGTTTGTTGAGATTCATGAAAGAGGAAGGACATTTTGTCTAATTTACAATCTAGTTATGTTAGACCCCGAAAACTCAAGTATCTGGGGTCCCAGGCCATGTTCTCGGTCACCCCGATCACCAGGCGGATTCGAGAGCTTGCTGCAAACTGCATGAGGCTTTATTATAATTTAACGAGCTAACCCCATGTTAGCTCGGGTCTTTGATCCACCCACCATGGTGGATGGCTAGCAAAGATGGCTCCTAGGGGCTCCCGAAAGATCTTATAGGGCAGCGTAAGGGGAGTGTCTAGGGGGACGAACAGGCTCACGATTGGTGGCTTGGAGGGCTTGCCCTGTGTTGATTGGTCAACTGGTTGCTATGGCCCATAGGCCCTCCCAGGGTGGTTGCTATGCTCTCTATGTCATTGCTGTGCACTTGTCTGTAAAGCACACCCAGAGCCATAAAGCATAGTGCCACCAGCTAACTTCTGATCGGCTCCTTGTCACGAGACAGGCATCTGACTTTCTAGTGTCTGGGACAAGGTCATAGAAGCACGTGTTTGGCTGTTATGGATGCCAAAAGGGAAGCTGGTTCCTTCAGTTACATCCCAGCACTGTTTCTTCTTCACTTGACAATGATTGCTATTGGCCCATTCAGCTAAAGTATCTGCTTGTTAATAGTGAACAGAGGATGATAAATTTCCAGCAAGCTTTGGCCTCCTTCTGCATTCACATACAGACTGGTGCATATTCATGGCAGGCAAATGACCAAAGGAGAAGCTGAATTATCTTGGCCTCCAGGTTTCTGTTAGGAATGGGGTTAAAGTTATTGAAGAGCTATGCAAGAAAGCCCTGCATGTGTTTACTAACTGTGCAGTGGTGAGTTCTTCACTACGTTTCTTGACCCTCCATTCTTGTGGGGCGTGTGTCTGTGATATGCTTTAGAAATATCCTCTGGAAGGGTTGTGGCCCATCAAAGTAGTGAGGGGGTGGTAATGGGTTATCAGTATTCCCAATGAAGCTGCCTTCCAAGAAGACCTGCTTCTGGGGTTGCAACATGGAATCAGCAGTGGCTCATTCAAATATTTTCCTTCCATGTATCAATTAAAGTATGTAATCTAGTGCAGAGCTTTACAGGTCTGTGATACAAACTTGCTGTTTTCTAACTTTATTTTTTATTTATTATGATTTTTTGAATTTTTTTCCTGAGACAGGGTTTCTTTGTGACTTTGGAGCCTGCCTCTGCCTTCCATGTGCTGGGATTAAAGGCACAACCATCACCTATCAACTTTTTTGTTTTTGTTTTCAAATTTCAAAACCATAGTAGGAAAATGCTGTCTTAAAGAAAGCAGGTTCTTTCTGCCCAGAGTAATTTTCTAAACAACAGGAAGAACAGATTGGCTCTAGTGAAGAAGGTAGAGTTCGTTCATACTTTCCTCCACAGTGGGAGTGGGGAAAAGTTGGATTTATCCATATGGGGAGCTTTTACCAAATGCTGTGGGTACCATGGGTCATTGTCAAGCTCACAAGGCATCCTATTCTTCGGATTGTAAATAGATGCCATATAGGATGGTTAAATAGTCCAGTTCATTTTCTCCCTTGAACTTCAGTTGTGTCTAATTATAATAACAGTATTTATAGCACTTCTTCAGTCCTGAAGTCCCCATGGCCACCAAGACATTCACCTGTACTTTGTGGACCCTCATCTTGAATCTCCCTAGAATATGTG